TGATGGGAATAAAGTTGTGAAAGATATCATTTTTGGCCCAGGAGAAAAGAAATATCGGTTCTGTAAGGTAACCATAAGCATCTCTATCAATTACTCAAGATCGCTCATGTTTCATGACCTATTACTAAATTATGTGCTATTTTTCTTCTTTAGTAAAATCATGCTTTGGAATAATTTTGTCAATCTGCAGAATTATTCATGATTGTCCATCCTCAGATAAGATTACTAATCCTCTGTTTGGTTCATCAATTTTTTGAGGAAAAGGAAAAGGAAAAGGAAATGCAAGGGAAATCATCAATCTTTGTGTTGTTAACATGGAAAACAATGAGGAAAAGAATATGATGAAAGTATGTGGAAAAAATCTTAGTTGTAAATATCATTTCCATAGTTGTCAAAATGGGATACGAATTGAGTATCGTTTTTCTATTTTTTTTGAGTTGAGTATTGTATCATATTGTGTATCATAAGATACTTTTAACATCTATAAAAAAGGGTAGAAAAATAAATATAGTTATAGCAAACACAAATATCTTGCGAGAACAAGACACCAAACAGTGTATAGTCCTTGAAATTACAAAAGTAAGGTTCTTTGAAAGATAAAAAGCGTATAAATTGTATAACCCTCAATACATAATGTATATAAAATGCATAGTGGAGTTAAGATATGTATAAAATATTTTCATAACTAACCATTTTAGTTTAAATATTTAATTACAACTTTTAAGTTTTCAAAGAACTTGTCTATAGTAGAAAACTTTAAACTTTAATGGGTGGAAGTAGGTCTAAATCAACAACACATGATTCTTAATACTTGACCAGAAAAGTAGATATTTGTCAAAAACTGAGAAAAATAAAATAGAAGTACCATATTGTTATCTAAAAAATATTATTTTTAATGAGTTGATATTAATTTACTAAAAGAAAGTTAAATTATTATTATTTTTTTCTTCAAAATTGCTAAAGAAAATACTACTGCACCATGTAACTCCCAGTAAACAACCCTAAAAGAGCCAGCTCAAAGGACAAAAGTAAGAAAATAGTGAAAGAGACTCTGTAGTGCTTAAGTGGATGACTTACTGATTCTTTGAGCAGAGACATAAAACATACCTGATAACATAAACCTGATGGAATTCTTCCGAGAAGAGAAATGGAAAAATCCAGCATTGATCTCCTCACAGAATTTAACTTGGCTTTTGAGAAGGTTAAATACTCCTCTCTGTGAATGAACTGCGTAGGTAATTTTCTTTGTATTCAGGTTCCACCTATGCCTACTATCGTTTCCTTCTAAAATTGATGAAGAGGAAAGCAACTCCAAAATGCCTATGTTTCTGAACTTGTTTCAATATTTTCTGAATTTTTGGGACTAAATATTAGAGCCTTTGATGGAGCTGTAAGTCAGTCTCTTCTGTTAGCAAATTTCTGATCATTTGAATCCCTTTATTATTACTAAAGTATGACGCCTAAGAAAAGTCAGCCAAATTACAGTCTATTAGATACACGTTTGGGGATCACCAATTGAAGTAAATACACAGTGTTTTAACTCTTATGTTTCTAAATTGTATTTCCCAAAAGGTTCATTAACGTGTGCATATTTGGATAAAGATTGATAACTGGTCATATAAATTTCCTTGAGTTCATGATTTATAAATCAATCATAATACTACCACAGCATCTTAATTTTATAAATTCTGAAAGCGTAATATGTTTACAAAATTTGTTAGTAAATAAAATCCTGAGTTTTTCTGAACTTTGGTGAGCTTTCATTGGTCTCAATTATGGTTGGTTTCAGTAAAATTATATGTACACTACTAGAAATATGACTTTTTGCGTCTATTTTTTTTGCGACGGATTATTTAACGGTCGCAAAAAATCATTTTGGAACATCAAAAACTTATTTTACCATCTCATTTTTCTGTCCCAATCGTGTTCTTCAAAAAATAAAAAAAATAAAAATCAGTATTTATTTCCCAAATCTGAGCTCTCTTTCTCTCCCTCTCAATTCCGTTTTTTTTTTCCTTATTTCCCAAATCTGAGCTCTCTCTTTCTCTCCCTCTTAAAATCTGTCTCTCACTCGAATCTCACAGCCTCTCTCGCTCGAATTTGTCGCTCGAATCTCTCGCTCAAATCTGTCGATCGATTCAACTTTCTCAATTCCACAGCTGTTGAAGATTTCATAATGGGTAAGCCTAAACACATCTTCATCGATTCTACTGGTACAGTTCAGCTTTTGATTTTCATTTACAGATGATCATAGCAACCTATATATAAATTTCACTGTCTACTTATCTTCCCTTTTGTGGATCGAATTCTGGAATTAAGATCCAGAGAGTTTGAATCTGAAATGATTTTTTTCTACATTTAGAATTAATTTCTTTAGTGTTGCAACCTAGATATGAATTTCATTGTCTGCTTGTCTTCATTGTTTGTGGATCAAATTCTGGAATGTATATCCCTCTTCCTGATATATATGAATATATATACAACAAAACATGCAATTAGGTATGAGAAGTGAACAGATGAAGCAGAAGTACCTAAAGAGTTTTATAGCAATCATAACTGTTAGGCAATGAATCAGCTATGAACCGAAATGTGCGAATTAGTCTATGCACTTGATTTTTATTCCTATTAATATACTTGATTTTCATTCCTATAAATATACTTGAGTGTATTAGTCTAGGCTGATATTTATAACTGTGGTCTGAATACTCTTTTGCAATTCATATTAAGGTAAAGCAATCGAAATAGAGAATCTCCTTGAAGTAGAAAACTTGTGCAGAAGGATTTGAATGGTGTGTTTTTCTAAAAAAATTTCCCATTACTATCTTAAGGTGAAACTCTGATCTGCTTACATCTGTTTAGAAAGAGAATTTTGATGGGGCAGTGGGATTTACTCATGGAGGACTAGCTGTAGTGGCTAGAGGACCTTGCTGCTAGAGAAGTGTTGCATCTGTTAGCTGAGATGAGGTTCTCTTCCATTGTCCTTGAAGGAGATCCCCAAGTTATTATCCACTTGGCTTCTGGGAAATGGTCAGTGGCTCAAGAGTTGGATTGATCATTTATGATATGAAAGTTGAACCTGAGCCCCTGAATGGGATATGAGTTCGAGATGTAGAGAGATGTAGAGAGATGTAGGCTGCTTAGTAAATATAGTATAGCTGCTAAAACTGAGATAAGTAGGCTTTTGTACCTATCTAGGGGCCATCTAGTCTCCTAATTAAGGTGAATGAGGTGCCACCTCACCAATCAGCAGTTCTTTTCACACTTCCACAATTCCCCCATCGTATTCCTTCCTTGCAATCAGCAATTTGTTTTTGTCCCTATGTGCTAATACACTCACATTTCATCCATGTTTTTGTTCTTTATATCCCAAACATTATAAATTTTTTACTACTTTTGTGCAATTAGTGAGTTCCAAGCTTTTTACTAACATATATATATTTTTAGTTGTGTAAGCAGATGTTTGTCAAGGATTTGATGAAGGATATGATTTTGGATAAGTTAGATGGTAAAAAGTACATATTTAGCTAACCCAAAGTTGTTGCCTTCTACTTGATATGATTTGTGCAAAATAGCATATAACTTGGAAGGCCCTAGTTCCCATCAAGGTAAAATTTAGTGTGAAGTTCAGTGCCATCCATATCAAATACAATACAAACTTCTTTGTATAAGCCAAGGAAAACCAAGATTTTTCATTAATAATCATTTTATAGCCAAATCTCAGAATTTTCCTATGTAAACCTTTTAATACCGTGTCAAATCAAAGTCAATATTTTCACAACAAATTGGCGAAATCATTTCACATTAAAGTACTAGTAAGTTTCTTAAAACTACCTACCTATTTCAAAATAGTGCTCATGTGGCAGTTTTAAGAAATATTTTGAAATTAAACAAATATTTTCTACTATACAGGTGCTGGCTTGTTCTTATTCCATGGTCTGGGATTCACATTTCATTGCCTATTGTATATTAATTTGGGGCTGTAAACCAGCTTCAATTTGATCCCTGCCCACCTTAAAACTGTCACTTGTGAAATATATCAGACTTGATTGTACTTTGTTAATTTCTCTTAGTTACAAATTCACAATAGGTTTGCTCCATGCCTTTGCTTAGTTACAAAGTCACTCTGGGATGATTGAGCTCAACCACCAGTCTGATAAACTAGTCCAAAGAAACTGATTTCATGTGGCTATGTCCACGGGGGTTCAAATGCTGAGCAAAAACTGTTGTTCCAAGTTACTTTGGGTTTTCTAGAAATTGAGAGCAGCTTTAAGCAAACACCACTTTCCTTTTTATTGCTCGTGCATCATTGCTAGCAGTAAGTCAAGTGAGATATCCAAGAAAACAACCCAATTTGGAATTCCTTCGTTAATCATCTATGACATTATTATGGACGTTATTGTTGTTGGAATTTAATCCTGAGCCATGCTTTTGTTCTGGTGATTTCAGTCAAAAGCAATGATAAAATGGCAAAGCTTACCTGATGATATTTTGATAAGCTGGCTCATCATCTGTAAGAATAGTAACCCGCTAGGCGATTTCAAATCATTTTTTAGGGGAAAAAAAAAGGAAGAAAAAAAAGAAACACTCACTAGAACAGAATATGCATTCAAATAGTGGCATTTTTTATTTGAATTTGAATACAAACCAGAAAGGCAAGAAAACACCACCACGGACCACCCTTGCTTCGTCTAGCTCACCTTCATTCATTTGAAACTCATACATACATATATATGGATATGGTAGAGAGTAGGCAGTGTCTAGAGCAGGGGTAAAGGCTAGAAAAGTAGATAGCTAAACCAAGAGGGGGTATTATTAAGTTAAAAGACTTTTAAGCGACACAAGTGCAGCCATCGCCGCACTTGTAGCCGGCAGCAGTGGTGACGCTGTTGGTGCAGGTGCAGGGGTTGCAACCACAGTGCTTGCCACGAGCACTTCTTGTGGTCTACTACACTGGGATCATCCCCAGTAGACGTGATTGCAATCAGTGCTCTTATAATATATGACCCGTGTGGCTAGGGTTACAAACAGACATGGGATAGGTATCAAGTGAGTTCACCAAGTTTGTTCTGTCTTCTGTGGAGATCTTGATCTTGAACAAAAGTAGACGTCTTTATTGCCATACTAACCCTTTTTTGTTTTTAGTTTACCACATGATTTTTATAAGAAATGCATTATTACAGCTTCTGGTCAACAAGACACTTTATGAGAAAACCATAGCAAGTGGCTTTGGCTCAGTTCACTTTCTTCTGGATGCTTCTGAACAGCAGCAAGTGAGTTGATGATTTTATTGATTTATTCATTTTTTCTGCTAGACGATAGAGACAGGTGTTTATAAAATAAAAAATAAATAAAGAAAAGAAAAAGGACATGATTGAGAAGATGCTATGGGTTGTTCCCTTCTTTTCTTTCTTATTATTTTTTGGTCTAATTCTTTTCCTTCTCTCAATATGTAGTACAAGGAAGCCATATTGGCTTATGCAATCTTGCTTAAAGCAGAGACCGGCCAGGTTTGTCTTGTTTTCTCCATTTTATATTTCTAATTAGTGAAACAATTGAACACTGCAAATGCTGAATGGAATTTGATATTTGTGATCATTTAATTAATTATAAATTACTATATTTGAACATGTTAAATGGTTGTTTCTAGATTCTATTTTCAATCAAACAGAGAAATTTATTTGAAGGTACTTTTGTTAGTCCTTTAGAAAAGCTAAGAAAGAACAGGTCACAAAAGATTATTCTAATTGCTTGGGAAGGGTTAGAGCTATGAACTTAAATTGAATTTAAGCAAAAATTAAACAATGCCAACATTGCCACATGAGCACTTCTTGTTGTGCTAATGGCTGTACTTTTTCCATTTTGTGTGTTCTTCAGGACGTATGCGATGCCTTGCTGCATTGGCTCGTTGGGAAGAGCTTAACAACCTATGCAAGGAATATTGGACCCCTGCTGAGCCAGCTGCTCGACTGGAAATGGCACCACTGGTTTGTTTTTGGCATTAGGTGGCTGTTAAATATATTCTTAAGACTCTTACCTAAGAGCAACTCCAACAAGGCTTGATATTCCTTCTCCAAATTTTAGTTAAAAAGTGAGTTCCCTATTTTAGGGAATCACTTTTTCATGAAGCTACTCCAGCACTACTCCTTATTCTTTCTCTATTTTTTTGAAATATTATTTTTTATTAATTTCTAACTCAAATATAAAAATTTATAATTTGATTGTAATGGCAGTATCCAACCTCAACATATAGTAAGCATATTTACCCTTTTTTATTCAAAGCGGGGGGACATCATTAATTATTTCAAATAGTAATTGAATCGGTAGAACACAAACGGCATCAATGCAAGAGTTACATGTTAATTGATGTTTAAATAGCACAACTCACATTAACAAGAGAGCTAGATGTCCAGAGGGCATTGAGCTTTTCAACCAAAATGTGTCAGCAAATGGCTATCAATAACCAAAATTAAGGCAAACATAGAGCTTTTCCCTCATGTTTCTATATATATGTCATAATTATATATGGTAATACAAATATTTTATACTAGTAACAATCAAAGTCGTTATTCCTTTTTTATTGATGCAGGGGATGAAGAGTCAGTGTGATGAGAAAATGTTCGATTTTATCTTTTGTAAGACAAGAACAATCTATACAAAAATAGTAAGTTTATTCATATGCTTGTAGCGGTTTATGAATTAATTTGTGTTTTTATTTTTTAGGTCAGAAATTCCTAGAAAGATGCAAAATATGGTCAAAGTATTTCCGCTGCTTAGACTGCTCCCATACCAATTTGTAATTATTCAGGCTATGTGGTTTCTGCTTTTAAGACCAATAAGCTTTATTGATCCTTATTTGTTTTATAGTTTTTAGTGGGTTATATGTTGATATCATATGATTTTGATTGTTCATATAATATTCCATTTTATCATTTATGTGATCCTTACTGCATTGTTGCATATTGTCTTCTTTTGTGGTGTTTTACTAATATTTGTGTGGAGAATCAAAATAATTATGTCATTTTTGGTGGCTGTGGGGAAAGGATTGGGGGCAGTTTAACAACTGGATAAATTACATTATTTTTGGTGTGATCTAAATGTAAGTTTATAAATTAATTGGTAAGTTTATTCATATGCTTCTAGTTGTTTCTAAATTAATTTGTTTTTTTATTTTTCAGGTCAGAAATTTTCTGGAGAGATGCAAAATATGGTTAAAGAATTTAAGAACTTAGTTTTTTCAAGTTTTTTTTTTTAATATATGTAATCACAGTTAAATTTTTTTTATTAATTTCTTTGTATATACTTTTAAACATTTAACTTTCATTTACGAAATATATGATATTATTTCATTCAATATATGGTTGTGATTCAAAATATAGTATATAGTGTGTATTACATTATTCAAATGCGCGTGCAAAAATAATATTGATTATTCTTTAAATATGTCAAAAATTTTTTTTTATCACAGGTTTTATTAGTTATTAATCACACTTAAAAGGTGTGATCTAAATATTATTAATCACACTTAAAAGATGTGATGAAAGCATTTTTTAATGACACTTAAAAAGTGTGATTAAAAATGACCATTTTTAATCACACTCCTAAAGACCACACTTTAATAAAACTTAAAAGGTGTGATTAAAAAACATACATCACACCAAAAAAGTGTGATCTTTATTTATATTTGTAGTAGTGCTATCACTTGTAAATGGGAAATGTATATGGCATTAACTAGTGGTGACCTTGTGAGATTCAACAATGTATCAAAACAAAGGAAAGTTTCTTACCGTGGTGGCATCGGCAGGCCAATGTGTGGGCTTGCCTTTTTCCGCGCCCCGCCTTTCAGAAAAGGGTTTGAAAAGAAAGGCCCTCACAGTTCGGACTCTACCTGTGGTTCTGAATCTAGTCTCACAAGTGCAATGTGAGACTGATAAACACCAAAGAGTCCAATCTGGCAAATCATTTTGGAAAATCAAACTTGGAATCAAATAATGCCAAAATTGGACTGCTTTGCCAGATTATAGAGTCCCCACCTAAATATTTTGTTTTGGGGAAAATTTAGGAAACCCTGACTCGTGCCAAAGGCCACGTGTCCGTCATCACCAAAGTTGCCTCGGTTCAGGAACTTGGGTACGAGGGGGGAAGGTCATGAAATGAGCACCTCCGCTCGCTCGATCAAAAGATCAGCCTCTACTAATCATGATATGTTGTTTTATAAACCTCAGGTGTTCTTATTCTAGTTATTAGCTAACTTTACTATGTGACGCACACAAGCAAGTATAGACTAAAATTGCGAGAATTGGTACAACTCAACTCATGTTTGCTTTTGAAAGTGGTTTGAATTTGCCACCCTCAAGTGGGCTTTAAAACATGATTTGCCACTTCGCAAAGTGGGCTTAAAACTCACACTTGTTGAATTGTTCCAATTCAAGCAACAAAGCCTTCATCCACAGGCATTCATGCAGTCTAGCAAGTAAGCACATAGCCTTATGGCAAACATACGAATCATGGAAATATGGCAATCACACTCACGCAAGTATGCTAAAGCATAAAACTTACCAAGTACTCCAAGCCAAAACAAAAACTAGTTAGAAATATGCATGATCCTAACTATACAAAATGGCTAATGCAACACATGCAATAATGCAATTAATAGGCTCGGCTACTAATATGGCATTTGCAACACTTTGAAACACATATTCAAGTAAGTATTGAAATTACAATGCAGTTTGAATGATTCGCCGAGCCTCGGTGCATGCAAGACAATAAGATATGCTAATCAAAACATGTCCATAATCTAACCATCAAAAACGATTAAATAAAAGGAAGAAAGACGTGGGGTCGGAAGACATACACACACGCACGAACGTACACTTATTACAACATTATGCCCTCGCGAAGGAGGGTCCGAATGAAGAAAGCTAACTAACTTGCTATTCTAATTAAGCTAACTATTACAACACAATTGAAACTAATTAACTAACTTATTCTAAGCTAATTAATTATAACAAATCGGAATTGAATAACTAGTTACACTAACTAATCTAGTACAACACTTGAATTGAATAATTAGCTACGCTAACTAATTAAAGCAATTAAATGGCCTCGAGGGCGAGGGATGCATACATGCTTGGTTGATTTCCTCCAAAAAATGCAACCGCCTTGCCTTTGCAGCCTCTGTTTGCACTTGCTTGAACACCAATAGTGCTGCCAACTTCCAGAACATCTCTGCTCTAACCTAGGAATACACTTGTTCAAAATTTCATTTTTGGCCAGTCAGCTACCAATGGTGGCTGTCGGCTACCATTGGTGGCCGGTCGGCTGCTTCTGGCCACCCTCTCCCTTAACTTCCTTTTTTGCTACAACAGAGAGCAAACAGAGGCAAAACAGTGTATTCTCAAGGAGTGTATGTACTGCTACCCTCCTTATCATCACACAAACTCAAAGGAGTGTAGCTCTTGTCTCTCAAGCCATTAACCAAGCATTTTCATGCATGATGGCCAAAGAACCAAGCTTGTACAAGCGTAATGAGTACAAAACAAGACTCAACAAAACCACTACCCTATCCTACATGATCAAGGGTGATGGTGATCAAGAAAAGTGGCACGTTTCATCACTTTGAGTATGACACGTCCTATTTTTCTCGAGTTCGAATTAACGTCCGATCCGAACACATGCAATGCAACATGAAAGATGCTTATCTTGCCTCTTTTACTTGTCCAATTTTATTTGTTTACAGATTTTAACTTACCAATCCATTCTTTAATTGATTAGTGCAAAAGGTGAGTGTCTTCTAATGGAAAGAGGGCTTAAACCACAAGTACCTTGAGCATGAAAGAGGCCTCATGCTGTTGGTAATGAACTCTCGAAGGAATTAAACCATTAGGCATGAGGGTCTCAATTCCACACTCAAGCCAACAAGGGGTTCAAAGCCACTTTCAAAACAAATGAAAGAGTGAAGAATCAAGGGCGATTGTAGAGATTTCAGTGCCGAAATGGAGTGCAAAATGACACTAAAACATGAAAAAAACTCATGCAATTCATGTTTAAAAGCCTAAAACATTAAGCTAGTGAAGGAGATTGCACTACAACCACACAATACAAGCCTCAAAGGAGCAAACTAGCTCAAAACAAAGATAAAACTAGTCAAAACAGTAGCAAAAACATGCTGAGATTAAGGTATAAAATGCTAGAAAATCATGTTCACATGTTAAGTTATCTAGGCTTGCAAACAAGACACAAGGAGGGGAGACTACCCCCTCCAGTTTTGGACTTCAAAACCAAGTTTTCACCACTAAAATGACTCTGAATTTCAGTGGTTTAAAGGGCCAAAAAGTTTGATGTGAGTATGCTAAAAGATGGTGAAAAAACTTACACAATAAAGCAACAAGAAGGGTGGACTCTCCCTTTACACGAAATGACCTCAAACCATCATGTTAAGGCTGAAAAATCAGAGTTTTTTGTAGTTGAAAAACAACTCAAAAACAGTATAAAAAGATGGCAAAACAAGTGGCCAAAACAAAGCCTACAAGGTGAGCCTTATACCTCTTGAAGCACAGCACTAAACAACCACAATTTAAGGCTCAAACCTCCTTCCAAAAGCTCAAACTAGGCTCCAAGGGACCTCAGCTCCAAGGTGAGAGTGTTTGGTTAAGGCTTGATGTACAAACGTTTAGAGAAACAAGGTTTTAAGGCGCAAAACAAGAAGAGAGAGAGAGAGAGAGAATTCTAGAGAGAGAGAGAAATTTGATCCAAATTTTCTAACCCTCCAAAATGGGAGAGGACACCCCCTATATACAAAAAATCAAGATAAAGCTTGAATTCATCCCTCTATACACGTGTATGGAGATGTACTTCAGTGAACAACAACTGGCACAGCTGGCAAACAAATATCTACAAAAGGAGAAAAATGGCTGTCGGCCACCACTAGTGGCCGACCGGCTACCACTGATGGCAGATAGGCACAAGCCATGGCCAATGGACTAAGGGGATTGCCGACAAGCCACCCTTTCTTCCAGACATGAAACAACAAGCTCTTGGTCCACAACCAAGCACAAAACAGACAAGTTTGGAGGCTCAAAGGCAAAGCGCTAGGTCGAGAACTTCAGACGCTCAAAACGAACACGAGCATACAAAACTATCGAGTGTTCAAATGATGACGTCCAAGTCTGAAGGACGGCCAAAAATGGGGTGTCTACAGTTGCCCCCCTTTGACAGAACTCGGAAGTCATGAAATGATGGGAGTGACTGTCAACGCCCAGAGACGACCCATTTTTGAGAAGGCCGAAGACTTGGACAAACAAGCAATCAAAACAAGGAACGGTTGCCCCCGCAGGCTGCCTACGTATCCCTTTGTAAGGAATCAAACCGGCATAGTTTTAGGGCAAGATGCAAATGATATGCACGATGCAATAACATAACTTATGATCATGTAATGAGGCTGTAATGAAGCATCTAGATGCAGATG